TGTTAGCGCATACTAGCGCCATCGATGGCGTCACCGGGACAACACGAGACAATCGCGTGCGACGGTGGCGCATCCGAGCCGACGTCAGAGAGAAGGGAGGGTGCAACGTTCATTCCAATTCGAAGCTTTGTGACAAAAATACAAATGCGGAATCCTTTGTAATTTAAATTTAAAATATAATATTCGAAATATATTATATTTAAAATATGTTCATACTGGGTATTTATACCTGTGCCAGTATATACGCCTCATCTCTAGCTCACAACGCTCAGAGCTCGATTTCTCAGCGTGAGTTTGTATATTTTCTAATATTTTGCTCTTTAACCCGCTGCAAACACTAAAGTCGACCACGGTTTTTTCAGTCCATGCCAGATGGCGTTGTTTTAAATGCAAAACCATTTTAACTATGGTACCATTAAATTAAAAACAAAATTTTATTTTAAGTTAAAATGAATTTATAAAAAAAAAATGTATCTGAGAAAATTGTATTTTATTAAACAAAAACTATTAATTTGAAAGAAAACAACTAAGCAAAATGCTGGAAGTAATTGTAAACAGTGTAACGGAACGTTACCTACGTAAATGCGGCACGGATGCCAACTTAGGAGTTTTCTTCCTAAGTTTAGGAAGAAAAATTTACAACAGAAACTATTTGGGAATCTTTTTAGGAATAACATTTTATTTACATTTTTTTTAAAAATTACACAATTTTAATCACAAAATATAATTTAATAGTATTGGCAGCATTGGTCTATGTAGTATATTAAATTGTTCCGCCATAAACTCTTATTGTGAATATACAGCTATTCATAACATATTAAATTGATTTAATAAGTAATATAAAATGCCAAATGGTGAGAAAATTGCCATCGGATATGTTCAAAAATATGCAGCTAATTTAAAGGTTTGTTTTCATTCAGATCTTTTATAATTGAATGATACTTATTGCCATTATTTATTGTCTGATTCTTAAAAATAATGAATATGATTATAACGTCACAATAAAATGTATTTAATTTAATTATTAAATTAATAAACAATGTTCAAGGTCAAGTATATTAATTAAGTTAATTTAAAAAAATAAACAGTTTTGATTACCCAGATAATTAAATTTTCCGATAATTATTCTAGCTTGCTAGATAATTTTAAAAAAAGGCGAATTTTTCATTAAGAAGGTTTCTTTTAAAACAGTGGATTTTAGGTTTTTGAATTTCTTTAGGAGTTTTTTTTTTTTTCAACAGTTGGTAACACTGAACTGCGGGCCGGTATTATTCATTTTATTTATTCGGTTATCTTTCATTATTCATCATTTTATTTTGTTATACGTTACGGTAAAACATTAATATTACCTACTACGACCATTAAGGGATATTTTAGTGGATCACAATCAATCACGATCTCAATCGGTGTAATTCAGAGACCCTTTTAAGTTGGACCCGTCTACCGTGCAACACTATATCTCTGGGGCCTTTTTGGGATTCCGTACCCAAAGGGTAAAACGGGACGCCATTACTAAGACTCCGCTGTCTGTTTGTCCCTCTGTCAACAGGCTGTATCTCATGAACCGTGATGATTACACAGTTGTAGAGATGAGGCGTATATACTGTGCCAGTATATACGCCTCATCCCTACCAAATAATTCCTTGAGATAAATTTATTCTTTATTTCTATGACAATTAGGTAGATAAATAATTGCGTAATAAGGTTAAACAGTAATATTTATTTTGAATTACTTTTTTTTTTATAATAGGGTCTTTACGTTAGTAAAGATGGAGCTCATTTTAGACTGAGTAAATCTCAATTTAAAAAAACTGATTGCTAAAATAACATCTACATGTTCCAATTCCAACCAAAGGTTCAATTCGTTTGATTCGACAGAGTCTCCAAAACTACAAAACTACAATGTGAGCCTACTAGATCAAATGGGTATGGTACTGGGTCTAAATTCGTAATAGTTTTAGCATTATTGAAGTGAAACTTCTTTATCGGGGTTGGAAAAAAATTTAGTGTAACATTTTTCCGTTACGCGCCATCATTTTCTTATCTTAAAATGTTCCTCTAACCCCATCTAGTGTTGAATAGGGGGTTTTATGTCGTCTTTATTCTTTAGTGGTTTTAATAGTTGACGCTAGATGGAGTTAGTTCCTGTGTGTTCATAACTATATATATATATATATGTTATAATAGAGTGATCAGCAAAATCAAAGGGTTTATTTTAATTCTAATTCTAAAATGTAAACAATATATTTCGTATTTCAGTTACCATAAGCCATTAATAACACAAATATATAATAACGACATCAATGATAGTAATAATTCTATTACAATTAATGAAATTCAATAATAATATTTGTAGTAATGACAGTGCTAGCTCTAATACTTCAGAGCACGACACTGTGTAGACTTCCTCTTCTCCAAAGGCAGGCACCGCCCACCGTGACCTGACTGCGCCTTCCACCGAGGACACAATCTGAAGCTGACCGATGATGCTCTTCGAACCCTCGATCGGCTCCTGGAATGTCTGCCTTCTACTCACTGGCTGACTATTCGGCAACGAAGGACCATGTACAAATTCAAAGCGGTTGTATTTTGGGTCCGTGAGGTTAATTGAAATAAACAAGGTTCACGTTGCAAGTTATTTAATCAACAGTTTTTGCGGACCCTCATACTAATTACAACGGTCAAACCATAGTGTGTTTTAATTTATTACTAACGCCACATATGTATTACAAATAAGAAACTAAATATTATACAAAGCTAAAATGAAATAATTGTAGAATTTGTATTTATGTCTATGATAATAAAAGCCTTTTATTAAACTTTATCTCATTTAACTTTATTTAACCAATTTCTGTAAAGTTGCATATAGTAAATTATTTTTTGAAAAATAACGTCATAAAAAAGTTTCACTTCTTAAGAGTGTACGCTAGTACACGCACACATTTTTATTTATTGACGGTGGTAGGGCCACGCAGCAGTCTCGGCTGTACTACGAGTGGGCAGGCTCGTCCGGGTAAGTACCACGACCTCACAGAAGACCGGCATGAAGTTGGAGTATTATACTTTCCCGTTTCGTTTCTTGAGTGAGGTGGCCGGAGCACAATTTTCAAAGGGTTGTCAACGCATCTGGAACTCTCGGGTGTAGGAGATGTCCATGGGCGGCGGTATTCACTTAACATCAGGCGAACCGTCAGCTCGCTTGGCAACTTTTCACATAAAAAAAACATGCTCAATAGTCTTCTGTCCAAATTTAAATAAGATTAATACTCTTTAATGACATAAATGAAACAATTTATGGAACACAATATAGGAATTTATTAAGTCTGAACAAAGGCACTACCTTAATTAAGAAGGCACCTCTCTGTTGATATCGTTCTAATGTGGCAACAATATTGTAAATAATCCTTTTAGCTTCTAAATCTTTAACAAATTCGCCGAAGCAAATGTTTCTATTTACATTATAATTTATGCGATACGCTTCGATGTCTGAATACAACGTTTTGCAAGAACAGCGAACCATCGTGAGTTGGCTCAGAACTCTCGGTCGGTGAGCACGAACTGCGCGGCGCTGCCGTAGTCCAGGATGCGGCCCTCGATGGCCCGCAGCTTGGCGATGTGGTGGCGGTGGATCTTGGTGTTGGTCCTCTTGTAGCGGAGGGCCGTGAGCATCTTCCCGGCCACGTAGTGCAGCCAGAGCACGTTGGTGTGCGGGTCGTAGGCGCTCCAGTCGCCGGCGAGGCGGTCGCGCATGAGGCGGTACACGGCGAACTGGCGGTCGCCCACGGCCTCGAAGAGCGCCTCGTCGCGCGCCAGGTCGCAGAAGAGCGCGGCGCCGCTGCGCAGCCGCAGCCGCGACAGCGAGTAGTCGATGAGCGTGGCGGCAACGCCGCGCCGCGCCACGCGCACCGCCCGCCCGCGCACCACGCCCGTGGCCCACGCCTGCTCGCTGGGCGCCACCAGCACGTTGCCCCAGTGCAGGTCGCGGTGCTCGAACTGCAGCGCCTCCTCGCCCACCGCCAGCGCCAGCGCCACCTGCGCCAGGCCGAGCTCTCACTCCACTCCGCACCGCGCCGCCACGGCGGACGGCGGCCAGCGCGGAGGATGAGTGAAAATCTAGTCAAGATTGTGGCGCGACTTGAACTAGAGATGCACCCACCCTCGGCAGTGGCGCGGCGGCCGCGGTTTCGAGTGAGCGAGCGAGAGAGCGAGAGAGCGAGCGAGAGAGAGCGAGCGGGCACCGACCTGCAGGAAGAGCGCGTGCGCCTGCTCGGCGCTGTTGAACTGGTAGCTCTCGAGGTCCTGGCCGGCGTTGGCCAGCTCCAGCACGATGTAGTGCTGGTCGACGGGCAGCAGCGCCGGGTTGTCGTTGTCCGAGCCGCGGCACTCGTCGAAAAGCTCCCACAGGTCCAGCAGACGCGCCGGGTAAGGGCCGCGAACGCACCGCACCGCTTTCACCTGAACACATGTTCCGGTAAAATTTTAACAAGCCACTACTTTATACAGCAAAAAGTAATAAAAATTAAATGATAGAGAAATAAAGATAAAAATCACTAATAAAATAAATAATAATAAAGCAGAATTCTGTAAAATCACCTATGGTTTTCGAGAAAAAACTTAATTAAAAGTAATTATGTTTTTTCTCAAGTTAATTAAGTTTTGATATTTTCACTAAATAAAACCGCCATTACTATTGGAATCATCATCTAAGGCTCACTCACTTGTTATACTTATACAGTAATTTATACATCACTCAATAAAAGAATTAAGGCCTTTCTCACACACAATCACCTTAAACTAAATATTATACATACTAACACATTTATTTATGTAGTAGACAGTTTTTTTTTTTATTTAAAAAAATTTTATTAAACCCTTTACCCACCTCATTAAATATGTCAGTTGCGTTTTGTACAGCATGTAAATCCAATGTGTCAATCTCTTTTCCCTCATCTAAAAGTTTTTCAATTGTAGCTATAGGTGAGCGTAGAGCACTCAATTCCCTGCACAAAGACAAAAATTATGGAAACAATGATTTTCAAAAGCTATAATTTGTTCTGCCATCACAATTTTCTATGGTGTTAAACATCTTCAGGTATGTGTTGCTTAATGCCCACAGGTGTGAATAATATCAGTATTGGCATATCTAGAATAATTTTTCAGGGTGGGCCTGGGCCCGTATTATGTGTCGCATTAAAAAAGTAACAGTTTGTTATTGTTAATAATTTATATTAGTAGTAGTTACAAATTAGTAGTTAGTATGTTCTGTCTTCACAAGTAAATAAACAGAATGTGAAAACTATGTACACAGATGTACATAGATTTCTCGGCTATAGATAATTATTTGATTACAATGAATTTTATGAAGATTCTTAGGTATCCAGCCTAGAATTGCGAATCAGTAACCTTAAATCCTGGGGTGGGCATGGCCCACCCGGCCCCCCTGCTCTGCTCTATACACCTATGAATATCAGAAGTGTCTTAAATAGCAACATATAAACTACTTACATAGCAATCACAATTTCAGAAATAATTTCGTGGAATCCCTTCTGAGGTTCTCCATTGACTTTTGTATCTCCAGCTATGGGTATAATTTTTAGCACACGAGCTTGGCCATCGCGCGCTCTCCACAGAAATACCTCGCCATATACACCTTCGCCAATCTTGTGGCAGTTCTTTAGTTCTCTAAAGTATACATAAAATGCAATTATACCAAATTAATAACAAAGTTTTAACAAAGATAAATATAAATATCCTCTGGCCCTTAACCAACATAGGTGATGTCAGCACTATGTGTGAAATATGTTGTAAATGGTTCTGGCTGTTTATAGGGTTCAGTACCCAAAGAGTAAAACAGGACCCTATTACTAAGACTCTGCTGTCTGTCTGTCTGTCACCAGGCTTTATCTCATGAACTGTGATAGTTATGCAGTTGAAATTTTATATATTTCTGAGGCCTCTATAACAACAAATACTATACTTCTTACCACTCTTAAAATAATGGTAAAATTGTTAAGCAATATGAACCTGTACAACCTTATTGTAGTTGAGAAAAACATTTATTAATGTTTCTGTGTTAGTATGAACAGTACAAATCTTTTCTGCAATTATAACACATGTTTTCAATGTCGGCAGTATTTTTTATTTGACTGACCTACTTTTCGTAATCATGATGATTTCTTAAATGTAAAGTAAATAATCAAAAAAGTAGGATATAGGTAACTACAACATTAAAAAAACATAAGACGTACGTATCTGGATAGCATTCATCAAACACTATAGGCTCTGTTTGATTACAACGCCGTAGTACGTAATCCCGTGCGCTAGCTATTCGACTCGTGTCATGGAACTTCTCTAGTACAGTAATTTCGTGTACGGAGTCATCAATCGACAATTTTGATAACTCGACAATCGTATCATCACAATCTTCGGACAGAAATCCTGAAAACACGTAATCATTAAACAAACGGTGTATGACACACAATAGGAAGTGAATGACGAACTTTCTCTGCGCGTAACACGTAATTTCTAAGAATTTTGCAACAACGTAAGGGGTTATAATTATTAAGGAAACAACAAATATTGCATACTAACCTGTGTATTGCAGGGAAAGATGCATGCACTTGGCTTTAGACACTTTTAGATGAACAAAGGTGCAGAAATAAGCTATTATCCCGTTAGGGATAATGGCAGTCAAAACAGTTCAAGTCACAAAGATGTGCACAATTAAAATATTTTCTACTATTGTACGTCAATAGTAGCCGTTTTATTCACTTTAGCACGTAAACAACGTGAAATAGTTTTATGAATAATAAAAAAATAAAATTTTGTGGAAGATGGCTAACGACACTCAACAGCGTCCTCTTTCTTCCGCGAATGCCACAGAGTAGACAGGCCACAGACCAAAAAATAACCCCTTGTTAGTGTTGCCAGTAAAATATTTTATACCACTCTGCTTTATATTTTCTATTATCGGGAGTATTAAGCTTTAAAAGTACCTTTAAAATCGTCGTACAGTGTCGAAGACCGTAAACTAGCTCTTGAATCCCGGATTTCCTGAAATATCAAAATGAGCTAAATATCAGAAATCTTTTAAGCTGGATACGTGTCATCAGAATTTTTAACTTACTTTTACAATTTTGATTGTTGATCTGCTGGGCTTGCACATAAACGTACTTCTGCGACCATTAATTGTTTCATCATGAAGGGAATCTATAATAAACATTTTGCTTTAAAAATATGCTCATTTTAGAATAAAAAAATTTTGCACCATTAATTTCGACAAAATTTTGAATAAATACGAGACAAACTACCTGACATTACACTGCAATATTGAATATTGTATTGTCACATGGCTTAATTTAAGGCATATTTTTAATTATTGTCATAAATGACACTCGGAAAAAGTTTTCATAATTATTTTAAGGCAAAAAATTAAAAAAGTCAAACAACAAATAATTAACACATTGATAATAACAATTCTAAACAAATTATAATTTCATTATACTATTAAAGATTGCATGCAATGAAAAGTAGAGATATTTATGTATACTTACTATAATTAAACATAGATATATTTGATATATATAAACATATATGTAGTTGGCAGAATAATAATAATAATAAAATAAAATATAAATATCTTTATTCACATAGACACTTGCATGAATAAAATCATCAGTAGTTATTGATATTGTATATTATTTATTTATGTATATTAATTAAGTATTTATGAATATTATAGTATATGTATTCTATTGAATCCTAAAATAATGTGATATATTTTTGTTATATTTGGTTTAATATGTTTATATGTGTTATGTTTTCATGTATGTTTTAAATTTAATTATGTATGAATATGAATGAATGAATGAATGAATACACTTTTATTGTCCACCACAAATAACAATATACATAAAAGTAACAATAGAACAACAAATTTATGCAATGTACTTGCAATGAATATGTTTTTTTTTTTTTTTTTTTTTTTATGGAGAAAAGGGGCAAACGAGCAGGAGGCTCACCTGATGGTAAGTGATTACCGCCGCCCATGGACACCTGCAACACCCGAGGGCTGACAAATGCGTTGCCGGCATTTTAAGAAAGAGTACGCTCTTTTTGAAGGTTCCCAGGTCGTAACGGTTCGGAAAGACCGCCGGCGGCAGTTGGTTCCACAGAGTGGTTGTGCGAGGCAAGAAATGCCTTAAAAATCGCGCTGTTGTGGAACGTTGGACATCGAGGTGGTGTGGATGAAATTTTTGGTTCTGGCGCGATGTCCGATGGTGGAATTCAGCCGCCAGGATCAATCCAAACAACTCCTCAGAACACTCCCCGTGATAAATGCGGTAGAAGATGCAGAGTGATCCAACATCTCTACGCAGAGCCAGAGGATCAAGCCGATCGGAAAGACTTTGATCGTCGATAACCCTAGCCGCCCTACGTTGAATGCGGTCAAATGGAAGAAGCTGGTAATAGGGGGCTCCCGCCCAGAGGTGAGATCAGTACTCCATGTGGGGCCGAATTTGCGCCTTATACAGGTTTAGGCGTTGGGCAGCCGTGAAGTACCGTCTCGCCTTGCTGAGCACGCCAAGCTTCTTTGAGGCCAATTTGGCCTTACCTTCCAATTGACCGCGGAACTGGACGTTGCTCGAGATTTCGACGCCAAGCATTCCGATACTAGCTGTGGCAGGTAGGGGAGTGTTCTCGAAATGAGGAGTCAAGACAAATGGGGACTTTTTAGCGGTTAACGCGCAAACTTGTGTCTTTTTGGGGTTGAATTGGACTAGGTTTAGTCGACCCCAGTCTGAGACTTTGGTTAACAAAGTCTCGACCTCAGACACAAGCTTGTTCCGACACTCGTAGACGTTTTCCCGAGAAATGTTAGCTCGGCCAGTGTACGAGACATCCACAGTGCTATCGTCTGCATAACAATGGACGTTGCTGATTTGCAACATGTCATTGATATGCAGAAGAAACAGAGTAGGAGACAGTACGCAGCCTTGTGGAACACCAGCATTGACAAATTTAGGATCGGAGCATGCACCGTAGACGACGACCTTGATGCTCCGATCTGCCAAAAAGTTGGTGATCCAATTGCATAATTTCTCGGGAAGCCCATAGCAAGGCAGCTTCGAAAGAAGCGCTTTGTGCCATACCCGATCAAAGGCCTTCGCTATGTCCAGACTGGCTGCAAGCGCCTCCCCCTTGCTCTCAACTGCTTCTGCCCATCGATGTGTAAGGTAGACCAGGAGATCACCGGCTGAGCGACCCCGACGAAATCCAAACTGGCGGTCGCTAATCAGCCGGTGCTCCTCTAGGTACCGCAGGAGCTGGCCGTTGATAACAGACTCCATTATCTCGGAGAACAAGGATGTGATGGCTATTGGCCTGTAATTGGACGGATCAGAGCGGTTGCCTTTTTTAGGGATCGGGTGCACTAACGCGGCCTTCCATGATTTCGGGACTACGCCTAAAGTATAGGAGTGCCGGAAGAGACGCGTTAAAACCGGCGCCAACTCTGGAGCACATGTCTGTAACACGATCGGAGGGATGCCATCAGGCCCACTCGACTTGTGAATGTCCAAGGAAAGAAATGCTTTGCGAACTGCACTTTGCCGGAATTTTACCTCCGGCATCGTAACGTCGCACTGGGGGATTGATGGTGGTGAGTTTCCTCGGTCATCCAAAGTCGAGTTGGACGCAAAGAGAGAGCCCAGAAGATCGGCTTTCTCCTTCGCGGCATGGGCCAACGAATCATCCTCAGTGTGCAGGGGTGGAAAAGATGGCTTACAGAAATTCCCTAAGACAGCTTTGGCGAGAGACCAAAACGCACGTGTTCCCGATGGGAGACGCGCCAATCTCTCGCCGATTCTGCTAATGTGCTCCAACTTCGCTTTAGCAATAACGCTTTTGAAGGACCTAGAAGCAGAGTTATACTCCTTTTTTAATGCGCTGGTCTTTACATCACTAGACGCCGAAGCTTCAGCCCAGGCTCGGTAGCATTCCCACTTTCGGCGTAATGCCGTCTTGCAGGAACGACCAAACCAAGGCTGGGATTTGCCACCGATGGGTATTGCAGAAAATGGAATAAACATTTCCATACCCTGAAGCACCACATCGGTGACAGAGTCAGCAACGGCGTCTGGATCATCCAACGAGAAGCAAATCTGCCCCCATGGGTAGGATGCAAAGAATGACCGCATCCCGTCCCAATCTGCTGACCTATAGTGCCATACGCGGCGGCAGCCTGCGAAGCGAGGCCGTGTAGAGCGCGCAACGGGCACTGTACTCCTGACAAGACAGTGGTCCGACGAACCAAGAGGAGGATCGACGGAAACCAGGTAGCCGTCCGGGTGCGAGGTCAGCAGAAGGTCCAACAGGGAAGGTGTATGATCCTCCACATCTGGGATTCGCGTTGGCGAGGTGACCAGTTGTGTCAGATCATAAGCTATTGCGAAGTTGTGAACAGATCTCCCCGCATGATTGGTGGTGCGTGAACTGAGCCATTCGGCGTGATGGGTGTTAAAGTCGCCTAGAATCACGATCTCTGCGGATGGGATCAGCTGCAGCACGGAGTCTGTAGCCATTTGGATGTGCTCAATGAGTTGGTCAGTTTCGGCATTACCGCTATGGGACCTATATAGGCACGCGTAGATACGCGGATGGTCGTCGCAGTCTACGCGTAGCCAGAGGATGGATAGGTCCCGTCCTCCAAGACTGCCGAGACGACGAGAACAGATATCCTCTCTGACGTACACGCACACCCCCGCCCGCGGTACAAAGGAATGTTCCAATTTGTACCCGGGGTAGGAGAGGAAAGAGGTATCAGCCGGAGAAGATATCTGAGTCTCAGTAAGGAACAGCAAGGCCGGCTTTGCCGTCTCTAGGTGGTAGTGGACGGCATTAAGGTTGGAGAGAAGTCCCCTGATGTTGCACAAATCTACGGAGAGCGTGGAAGGGGTTGCCGAAGTGAGCCTGCTACGTTTGCCTCGAGCAATGGGAGTTGAGAGCGGTATTTGGCCCCCCCCAGAATACGTGGGGCAGCCTGAGCGCCTAGGTTTTTTTCCGATACCGCTAGCATGTTATAGAAGAAGGGAGGGGGGGGGGGGGAAGTGGGCATCCGGCAACCTCACTCACCAGACGAAACGCAGAAGCATAAAGCCTCCACTTTACGCCGGTCTTCTGTGAGGCCGTGGTACCACCCCGGACGGGCCTGCCCATTCGTGCAACAGAGGGTTCTGTTGCGAGGCCCTACCACGTCCATAACTTTTATTTATATTTACTTTGAAACTTTTTACACCTACCTCTTTCGCTGCAGGCAGTTCACCTGATGTTAAATGACTACTATAGCACATGAACATCTAAAACACCTGACAGGTTGCAGATGTGTTGCAAAGTATTTAAAAAGTGGGCCCCGATTACATCATTTAAAACCAGTTTTTTAAAACATTAACATAATGAATGTAAATGCACTACAGGCAGAATATAAAGTAATGAACTTAACTTTAAATGTTTCAACTATTGATCCAAAAATATATGTAGTTTGTTAGCATTATTTTTATACATATATCACTGCAGCATATATTAATTTGTTATATTTACCTCGGAATTTTTGCAATTCCATAGTGTCAATTACACTTTGCCTGTACCTGCGACCTTTATTTTTAGTAGTTTCATCATCTAAAATTGAACAATCAAAGTTGTCAGCTACAGCAGTCATCCTTTTGTATATACTTAAGGATCTTTCCCATTTTTTTCCAGGTTGTAACACTATTGGTTTAACAATTCCACTGTGCCAGTCTAACTTATTTAAATCAGTATTTTGTTCCTTTTTTAAACATTTTTCGACACTTTCATTACAATCTTCTGTTTTTATGATTCCCACTGTTTTTCCATCATCACAATTTTCTATTCCAGTAAATGTACTCTCATTAAATGTTCTTTCATAGTTTATAGATTCAATTGTTCTATTAATATTTATGTTACTATTGAACATGACACCATCATTATCACTAACACTACAAAGACTGCTACAGGAATTGTTACCAATAAATATTATAGAATTATTTGTTAGTTTATTGCCTCTTCTAGTTGTGACAAAGCTAATACATCTATCTTCATTGCTCAAATTTGATTCACAATCTTCATTAAATTCTACACCTTCTCTTTGGTCTGTAGAATTATTTGTCTCATAATCAATAATTTCCTTATATGACTTATTCATATTGTATGATCCATTAGATAAATGACTTGAGTCATCTTTTTCTTTAAAGCTATATTCATTATGAGAATCATCACAGCTAAGATCTTGAACACTGGTGCTATTTATATCTAAATTTGGTATAAAGGTTTCAATTTTTGTATAATATTTGTAGAATAAAGCATCTTTAATTCTTTCTACTAAAACCACAGGGCTTGAAGGATAATTGTTATTATCATTGGCTGAATTACAACTAACAGAAAGTTTGTTACTATAACAAGTGTCATAAAAGGACCCAGAGTCACAATTTTCAATGTTAGGTAAAGTTTTACCACTACTATTCTTATCACAGGTAGAATTATTTAATAGAACTTGATTACAGTCTATAGCAGGTTTAAATGTATGTTCATTAAATAAGAAAACATTCACAGAGGAACTATCTGGCTTAGCTCTCTGTGATTGGTTAATAGTGATATTAATTGTAGGACAAGTTTTTTCATTCTTCTTATTGGCAAACCCATAAAATGGTTCAGTTTCAGTTGTATAGAAAGAACTGTTACAAGTTTTATTCTGTATAGAATCACATCTATCATATTCTTCAGTCTTTGAATTTTCTAAGTGTGCAATTGTGTCACGGTTCGAATAACAAGTTGTAGCTTTTTCAGATAAATTCAAACCAACAAGAGGTTGAAAGCTCTTTGGTGATGCACATTTCCAACTGTTTTGAATTTCATCCTCATATTCAGATGTTGTATTGTTTCTATAATTAGAATTACTTTCAAATTCTTTGAGACTGTTATCAAGATTGAACAATATTGGTGACAAGTTATAAATAGACTTACTTCTATATTTCTTTTGAAATGGTGTACTGCATAATGGGGAACTTTCTAATACTGTAGGTTTAACATTTTTTATTTCAAGTCTCATATCTCTTTTAATACTATTTGATTGACTATTTTGGTGGTTATTTGTTAAAATTGGCATGTTTTTTAAAACATTGTTTATAGATTCATCATGGTATCTTAAACTATTTTTATCAACCTGTTCAATTATCAATTTATGATTTTTAATATCAGATATATTTTGTGAAATATGGCCAAATTCAACCTTGGAATTTTCTTTATCTGAATCTGAAAATAGAAGGTTGATATGTAATATTCCAATTTTCCATAAAAGTAAAAATAATAATATATAAATTACCCATGTTTTCATGTATAACATTGTTACACTTTTTTGTTTTTGTACTTTTATTGCCATATTTTCTTCCAGGTCTGCAATGAAAATGTTTTACAATGAGACTATAGAAAATAACATAAATAAATAAATTCACATAAAAAATAAAAAAATAATATGTAAAAAATATTCCTGTGAAAATTATAATTGAAATGAAGTGAATATTATGTAATAATAAGACATTTATAGTTTTTCATACATCCACATTTGGTTTTTTTGTCCTCATAACAATAAGCTCAGTTACATAAGTGTATACTAAAATCTACAATGCAAATTTTCTTTTAGAGCATGTTTCTGTATCATTTCAAATTACTTGTCACATTTTATAAGTTTCATCAGTGTTAAAGACAAGTTTTTATTAATTTGTTATTTTTGTTATTTATTTACTTTACAACATTATGGATTAAGTTGTATGCATTAAAATCTAATATCATTATTTATTTAAAATTTAGGCACGAAATATCTTTGTACAAAGAGGGACTTAATTCCAAATGCATTTCCTGTCAGTCAACCTAAAGGATGATCAAGAGAAATTGAGGTGGATGCATTGATAAAATAAATAAAAGGAGAAAAGTATACTCATATATTAGAGACTCGAAACACATACATACTTAGATACACAAACATATACACAATCCTATTATATTCCTGCCTATAACTTTTGGATTAAGTGCACCAGAAGTTTCCTTTTTAATGTGTAGCAACTTTTAGTCATCCTTATTTCAAGAAGTAATGTATTCCACAGAAAAATAGATTAGATGAAGAAAGAAGAGTGAGTGCATGAAACCAGAACAATGAGAAAGACATTGAAGAAGACAAGTATTTGCATTTGTATGGTCAGCACTCTTAAAGAATATCTTTGTTGAATATGTAACCATCACTGAAGTTGTGAGCAATACACATTGTTGTACTAACAATGATTGTAGATGAACTGACAATAAAGAATTTGTTAACATACTTTTCTTAATTATTTTTGCATACACAATAGGTATAAAATGTTAATAATCCAGGAAGTGAATACCACTTGTATATCTATCTTATCCTTTAAACCAGCAATTCTTACATATATATATATATATATATATATATATATATATATATATATATATATATATTTCCTCCAGCGATTTTCATGAATTTTAGTATATGCGTAGATTCGGGGGCGAAAAATCGATCTAGCTACTTTTATCAAAAATTTCCTTTTATCCCTGTTTTCAGGGAATGAAAAATATTATTATTTCACCGAAAAAAAAATGTTATAATAGCTCGGTCGGTAATCGGGCGGCCGTTAATAAACAGCCACGAAACAGAAGGCCGTGGTTCTTATCATGACCATTTACACATTTATTTTTTTACATTTTTCGATTCCAGAACATTGCTTTCTTTATTTTTAATTTTTTGTCGATTTGTTATTTTGTTATTTTTTTCCCTTTTTTTTAAAGTTCTTTCTTTTGTGAAAAACATCAGTTCATATTTTCTTATTATTACATTGGTAAGATCGAAAAATATTATGCATATTTCATTACTCAGTAATTTGTATCTAAATGTAATGATCTGGTATAGAAAAAGAAGTAAAATAATAAGTGTGTAAATGATCGTGATACGAACCATGGCCGTCTGTTTTGGGGCCACCCGATTACCGACTGAGCTATTATAACATTTTTTTTGCGGCGAAATTTACCGTGATATTCGTTCATTCCCCTCATTCAGGCATAAAAGGTCATTTTCTAAAAATGAAACCAAGCTAGATCGATTTTTCGCCCTCGAATCTACGCACATACTAAATTTCATGAAAATCGCTGGAGGAAATATATATATACATATATATATATATATATATATAAGAATTGCTGGTTTAAAGGATAAGATAGATATACAAGTGGTATTCATTCCTGGAATATTAACATTTTATACCTATTGTGTATGCAAAAATAATTAAGAAAAGTATATATATATATACAAGAATTGCTCGTTAAGAAGATCCTTTAAGGATAAGATTTATGTCAAGTACTAACATTTTTAGAATTATGCCTAGTTGTTGTGTATTTAGTACAGTAACTAAAGGTAAGTAAATTAAAGTGTATCAGGCTTACATCATTAGGAAAGACTTCGAGCTTTCGACATGTGCAGGTGAAGATTTCAAAAGCAAATCGAATGGATCCGGGGCCTTGTTTACGTGAATCGACTTATCCGGCGTCAAACATGCACATTGAGATGTAGAATTTCCTTGGCTCGCAGTTTCTTCTCTTATTGAGGCTTCCTTTGCATCATTTAGTATTCTTTTGACGTATTTTTTCTTGTTAACCTTATAAGAGACCCCCTTGCTTTGTTTGGATAAACCCAAACAAGACATCTCTCTTTTGGTTTGCTTTATGTTTTGTATAGAAAATGCATCGAAAACAGAACTTTTGGCATCAACATTCGATAGTAGATTTTTATGATCTACACCACCACCCACGTCCTTTTTAGATTTGTACGTCCGTCTCATATTATACAATAAAATAAGTAAATTCTATTTATTAAATTTATTTCAACATAATATTAGTAAAGGAGGTATCTATTTAAATTCAGATGTTTCTACTACAGACAGACTAAAAATAAATAACGAAATCGAATAAATCTTGACGTTTCGTTTTAGGGTTTCCAGACTATATTCTCTTAATGGTAATCCTTGCGATTCAAATATAGCGGGCAATTTACACAATAACTATTTTTTTTGAAATTTTTATGTGAAAAGTTGGCGAGCGAGCTGCGGCTCACCTGTGTGTTAAGGTCAAGTAAGAACCACGAGCATTTTAAATTGCAACACCCGTAGGGTTGCAGATGCGTTGCCACCTCTTAATATACTGGACGTAGTAGAATCAAACATGAAATTACCACTGAACTACTACTTAAAACGCATGTTATTATGGGCCAAATTCTGATAGTAATTTCCGTCTATTATCTAGAACATACTGGTAACAAGAAATAAAATCGTTTAAGCTAATTAATTTCGGCTACCTTACTGACTAGACGAAACGCACATGTTTAACACTTCCACTTCATGCCGGTCTTCTATGAGACCGGCACGAAGTAAAAGTCTGTTGCCCTACCACCGTTAAATCTTTGATTTGATATTTTATAAACAGGGTTGGTATCTGTAATGTTCTAGAAAGCGGGAGGCACAGAAACACAACTCACAGTAACTGTTTATTTTTCGAATGACTTGCCATACGAATGACTAGACCACAGAAATTAAATATTGTACATCAAAATATACAAGGCTTGGGTGGCAAAGAACCTGAAATAGAACTGTTCCTTAGGAAATTTAATATTCATGTTTTGCACTCGTTGCTATAGAAATTTGTCAATAATAGGGTATTGCTAGACCAATGAAAGTAAGGGTGTAAAAGATAAGAGCGGTGCTACACAGTAGCAAATGAGTCGCCACAATGTCATCTGCTTCACAGAGACATGTTTACATAAGAATTGTAATATTGTAAATATAGAGAATTATAAAATGTTAAGTTCGTTCGTAAGAGTAAATGCTATACGCGGTGGCTCTCTTGTTTTAGTTAGAAATGATATAGTCTGTAAATATCGACAGGATATAATGGCACTCTCTGTCGAACGTTCTATAGAATTATCCTGCGTTGAGAGTCAACAGTATATTATAGTATGCGTGTATCGACCCCCCTCCGGTGATTTCGACCAGTTTGAGTGTGTCATGGATGATGTCCTTAAAAAACTGTGTTTAACTAGTAAATATGTCATCGTTTGTGGAGATTTTAATGTAGATTTATTACAAGTAACACAACTTAGTAAGCGGCTTTTAAATTTATTTAATTCATTCAAACTTAAAAATCTTTTTTATGAACCAACTCGTGTTACTAACTTATCCTCCACATGTATCGATAACGTTTTCTGTCACAATGAAGTATATGACAAATCTATTATAAATTATCTGAGCTCTGATCATCGGGGTTTAAAATTTTCAATAAATGAAAACATTACTACAAGTGAAATTAAGATCAGGTGTAGACCAGTCACTGCTAGGAGACTAAATTCTTTTAAAGATAAAGTAGCACAGCATGTATTCCATAAAGATGTCGGAGTCAATAACCCTAATGATTGTTATAGATCAATGGTTGATTTTCTCATAACTTCCTATAATCATATTTTTAAACCCCGTACAATTATTAAAAAATCAAAATTAAAATTTAGTGACTGGGCAACAGTGGGTATATATAAAAGTAGGGATTCACTGTATAAATTATATAATATGAGGCAGTGGAATCACGACCCTAATTTCCATAAACGGGTACAAAATTTTTCAAAAATATTTAAAAAAGTCTGCATACATGCAAAATCTATCTACATAAGAAATAGGATTTTAAATTCTAGTAATAAAATAAAAGCTACATGGGACATCATTACCTGTATATCTGGAAGACCCAAGATATTCAGGGAACCTATAAAGCTAGTGATAGGCAATACACCCATAACTTCAGATAACGAAATTGCAAGTAGTTTTGAAACTTATTTTTCAGAAATTGCAATTAATGTTACATGCACGTTAAAATCCTTTCCCATTGATGCAATTAATGTATTAAAAAATAATGTTACCTATTGTCGACAAACGTTTAAATTTAATCACATAGATACTAATGATATTATAAAAGTTTTGAATTCTATTAATCTTAAAAATACAGGAGATTTGTGGGGCATGTCCATAAAATATCAATATAATGCCGTATATTGCACCATATTTGGCAAATATTTTTTACAAATGTATAGATTCTGGAATATTTCCAGATCTTATGAAATTCAGTAAGATAATCCCCGTTTTCAAAAGTGGGGATAAAAATGATCCAGGAAATTACAGACCTATCTCCATATTGCCATCTCTGAGTAAAATTTTTGAAAAACTAATTTTAAATCAACTCTTAGTACATTTTAATATGAACAACATTTTCCATAAGGAGCAATATGGATTCACTAAAGGCAGATCGACAACGGATGCGGGTGTCGCACTTGTCAAGCATATTTATAACGCCTGGGAAAGGTCACAAGATGTAATAGGTGTCTTTTGTGACCTTTCAAAGGCTTTCGACTGTGTAGACCACGAAACCCTCCTTCAAAAGTTAGATTATTATGGCATTCGTGACATCGCCCTCAATCTCATTGCCTCTTACCTTAGTAATAGAATTCAAAAAGTATCTATAAATGATGTAAATTCCACAGGGTCCCCCATGAAAATGGGTGTCCCACAAGGATCATAAATGATCTCCCCTTTTATGCCAGTGAGTTATGTGATGTTGTACTGTTTGCTGACGACACATCGCTCATTTTTAAGGTTGACCGAAACGTGTCGGATTATGACGACGTGAATAGTGCACTTTCGCGTATTCTCCACTGGTTTACCGTTAATAATATGGTGTTAAATGCTAAAAAAAAACTAAATGCCTTCTTTTTACCCTTCCCAGCGTAAGAAGGCGAAGTTTTAGCTTAACATTAAATAGCGTAACCCTTAATCCTGTTGAGTCTGCTGTATTCTTGGGAATTACAGTGGATTCAAAGCTCCAATGGAGTCCCCATCTATCATCTCTTGCGAACAGGTTAAGGCTCCGCTGTTTTTGCAATTAGGAAGGTTAGGCAGCTATCAGACATCGACACTGCCAGACTTGTTTATTTCAGTTATTTTCACAGCATCTTGTCTTACGGTATTTTGTTGTGGGGTAGTGCATCTGATATAAATTCTATATTTATTCTTCAAAAAAGAGCTGTCCGAGCAATCTATAACATCGGAGCCCGGAATACACTCAGAGACCTTTTTAAAGAGATTAATATACTCACTCTTGCGTCTCAATATATTTATTGTAATATTTTGTATGTTAAAAATAATATTAATAGTTATCTAAAGAATAGTGACAGACATAAACTAAATACTAGAAATAAGGACAAACTAACTACGCAATTGTTTCGTCTACAAAAAGTAAACAGGTCGTTCATGGGGCAAGGTGTGCGCATGTATAATAAAATCCCACAGTCGATATTAAGTCTGCCACTTGATGAATTTAAACGAAAAATTAAAAGTAAACTTATGGCTAAAGCCTATTATTCTATTGCCGAATATCTTGACGATGCCAATGTGTGGGGTTAATACTGTTGATACTCACGTAGGCTAAAACAAGACTATTGTACCTGTACTATTATATTGTATAAACTGATTTTTTTAAAAAGAGCAACTGTTGAGTTTCTTGCCGGTTTCTTCTCAACAGAAACTGCTTTCCGAACCGGTGGTAACTTACGAACGTGTTAATTTCTTGTAAAATTTTGACGTTTCATAAGAACGCGCAAGCGTCTATGTGAAAAAAAAAATACATATGCTTTACACAAACCCAAATAAAAACTTATAAACTAACTTATTCTACCTTACATCAAACTCCTCCAAACTTTCATTAACCTATTGCTTATTTTATATCTTAACTAACACTTTTTTTTTAATCACCATGTTTAACAAGTTTTCTTAACCAGCATTGCCTTATAGGGCGACCTTGTAGAGACGGTGTCACGTTGGGCAAGCCGTCCTGAAATATTGGTGATCCCGGGCTATCGCTGACTTTTTCTGACACCGAAACCTCCGGTACTAATTTGACCTCCGATCCTACTAACCCCCCGGCTCATCACAAGATGCCACCTGCTCCGAACGGACTTTCCCCACTTTCTCCGTCGTCGGGAATTCGTTAACTAATTTTGTGCTACGTTCCGAATTTCGCTCTGACGGTAATATTACTGAACTTCTTAAGTACTTCCTTTTCATTTGATCAATATGTCTATGAATTATTTCGCCATCCTTACCTCTAACTTTGTAATTGTCTTATCTCTACTATCTGTACGGCGCCCCACCTTTCTCCCTTCAAATATTGCCTGTTCCAAACTTCTTCCGAAGGTTTCGGATTCCTATCCCCGTCTTTAGACGACTCTTTCTGATATTCCTGAACTTTAAAAACTCTATTTTCCCTATCCGATTTTAAAATATCTAGCTTAGTGCGTAGCCGCCTTCCTTCGCCTTAGTAGCAACATAGCTGGACAGTTGCCAGTGGTCAAGTGTTCCGTGTTCCTAAATTATAGCAAAAACGTATACAGAGCCTTTTCCACGTTTTGTCTTTCTGAGACAACTTTTTTTATCACTTGCTTTAATGTTTAAACTGCGTTTTCCGCTAAACCGTTAGATGCGGGATGTAAAGGTGCCGTGAGGACGTATTCCGTGGGTATTTACAAAATTCCTAAATTCTGAACTGGAGAATGGCGGGCTGTTATCGGTAAAAATTTGTTTGGGTAGTCCCCAATGACTAAAAAGTTCACTCATCTTATCTATCACACCGGTAGCAGCCGTACTACAAAGTTGACTGACCTCAAGCCATTTCGGTATTGCATCGACTATAACAAGGTAAGTTTTACCGTATATTGGTCCCATAAAATCTAGTTGTAACCTAGACGACGGATGATTAGGCCACGGCCACATGCAGGGAGTCAGTCGTGGTGGCGCATCTGCGTGAGCTGCGCATACATCGCATTCGCGGCATATCCGCTTCACCGCCTCGTCTACCCCAGCTCACAACACGTAGCTGCGGGCTATTTCCTTAGACTTAACTGTACCCATGTGGGGTTCATGGATCATGTGAAGCACTTGCTTCCTAACAAGCTTCAGGAATGACTAACTTGTGCCCCCACATAACACAGCCTATTCCCTCGTATAACTCATTCTTACGATTGAAAAAAGGTCGTAAACTAGTAATACTACACTCTCCTGGCCAACCATCCCTTATGTAACTAATCACTTTTGAGAGAATTGGGTCACGAGATGTCTGATTCTTAATTTTGTTATAATCTAATAATAAAGCTTGTTGAACAAAATGGAAATACGTTTGCTCGGGCGCCGCATACCTTCCGCTCCATTCATATCGGTGCGTATGTATTGAATATCGAATGAATATGCAGACAAAATAATTGCCCACCGTTGCATGCGACTGGCGACCATGGTCGATATACCCATGTGGGGGCCAAAAATCGATACTAACGGTTTGTGTCGGTTCGCAACACACAAATACAAAAATAATATTTCTAAGATATGTGAAATCCGCCAATCCGCAGTGGGGCCGCGTGGTGGACTATATCCTGATACCCTCTGTACAGACGAGGCCTTTGTCCAGTTGTGGGAAATGTATAGTCCGATACTTTACTTTTTGTTTCAATGAAAGTGTTATTTTTTATGGCGACACTTCTAACGTTTTCCTTTAGACGACTGTGAACAACTTACGCCCGGTTTCTGAAATACTGATCAACGTAGATGTCAAATAATCGGCTTTTCATATTTCATTTTACTTGCCAAAAGGATGGTTAAACTCTCTGAATTGACCGGAATGATCTTCTTAATGATCAGAATGATCAATTCAGTTAACCATCCCTTTGGCCGCTCAAATGACATTTCAAAAGCCATTTGACAGGTGATTAGTTGACATCTACGATGATCAGTGTTTCAGAAACCGGGCGTTAGATCCACCGAACAACAATCAAAATTAATCAACGACTGTTAACGTTTTTAGTTAAGTTTGTAGTGAGTGGTATTTAGTAATACTTTTTTTTATGAAGGATTTTATCTGTCTGCATTTAGGAGGTCTTTACTTACAGATCCACCGGGCTTGATATCACCGGGCGCTCGGGGCGCCTAACCAGAACCTCTTTTATGAGTGACTAAGCTCGTGAGCTCCCGAGTCCCGAGGGAGCTATTTTTTTCTTTTTCTCATTTATTATTGTTATTTATTTCTGAAATTCTAATAATATAAAACATTAATGTTAAAATTTGTAGAAAAAGTATGAAAAGAATGTCGCCGCTGTGGGAATCGAACCCACGTCTTCGGTATTCGTGGCGTTACGCTTTAGCCACTAAACTAAACGGCTGATTGCCACACCGACGAAAATCTTAACGTCTTTTATCTATATTGTTTTTTAGTTTTAATATAAAACATAAATGTAATTGAGACAAATTAAGTTTCACTTCCTGTGCATGGAAAATTAATACACACGTCTTTTTTTCCCTGTCATGGAGCATTTGAGGAAGTTTCTATTGTTTGAAGTGAAACTTCTTATTTTTTTTCTGTAGTAATTCATAACTTCTCATTTTTTTAATTTTTTCTGTAGTAATTTGTTTCTGTAGTAGTTTGTTCTGTAGTCATTCTGATGTCTCGTAATTCATGATTTTGGTAACATTGTTGTTTTTGACACTTGTCACTTGAGTATTGTCTATAATCTATCTATATTAATAAAGATTATAGATTTGTATACCAGCTATAGTAAATACTAAATACTACAGAGTTCTTACTTTATTACTGAGATTACAGAATCAGTTGTCTCAATGTCAAAATTCATGTATTTAAAGGATTATATCTTTAAATAATTATTTTGTAATATAATCTGACAAACACGTATTTGTACCCTCGTAGTTTCGATACGAATACGTTTAGATCTTTAAATAATAATTTAACAGTAAAATATTTAATGATATGTTTTATCTCTAATTGAAATGATTTGGTTTGAATTCAATTTTTAAAAATCTATATACTTTGAGACATTATTAGTTCAAAATGGAAGACAGTAACGATTCCTTATCAGGTAAAAAGTAAGACTTGACTGGGTCGTATAGGCTGACATTCGGTTTACACACAAATAATTGTATCTTACAGTAATGACTCCATCTATGGGTAGTTCCCCCGCGGTCTTGCTTACTCCTGGACGCACTAGAAATATTGCACAAGATATGGAAGCACTTAGATTGTCAAGACAAGACAATCCTTACTTACAGGTAGATCAGTGACTTACGTAACTGTTGGGTTACAATAGTTGTTTATAATGATTTTGAGTACTTCGTCTTTTACAGCAAGTTATGGCCAGCAGAGAGAGTTTAATAGAAAGTCATGCAGAAGAATGTGGATCAGATGATACAATTTTAATGTCACAGGTTAGTACTTTTTCAGTTTAGTAACAACAACATGTCTTCTGCATCACAGCCCGTCATATTTGTACTGCCTGTAAGGCTATCCTTAGGTATTTGGGATGTTTTCAATATATGTAAAGTGTGAGTTGTAAGAAAAGTTTGAAATTGAGCTTGGTAATGTTGGTTAAATTTTCGTATTTACATACATTACTAACTGAAACTATTTTTACAAATATATCATGGTCTGTCCTATGACCATGATCACTGTAAAGGGGTTTGAAACATCGGGAACTAAAATTATAGATTGAAAAAATATTTTATATAAGATTTAAGCTAGATTTAAGAAGATTTTTTAATTTATTTATTGAAGTAAGAAATTATAGCTACCATGCTATGTTTGTTACATGTTATATTTGCACACTAGGTCATATGAATAGAATGCAGAGACATAAATATTTAATCAACATCCTATGATGTTATTGTTGTTATTTTGCAAATAAATTGTGTATTTAATAGATGTAATTAAGTCATTACAGTAATTACTCCATTTATGCGAAAGTCCTGGAGTATTGCAGTTTTCAAATATCGGTGGCTCATCTATTGTAGTTAATACAGATTTCCACAATTGGGAGTTGATAATTGATAAGTTATGCATGAGCAAGTGTAAGACATTGTAGCTTTAAGAGCCAGTTGAGTAAGAAAGAGTGAAAGTTGCAAATTTAATTGAAAAGGGTTAATATATTTTAGAAAATAATATAAATTTAAAATACCTATGCCTAATGAAGAGCATATTTCTTCAACAAAACAAGGAATATAAAAATGAATAGAATGCTATGGGGAAATTTTGCGGCAGAAAAAATCTTTACGCAGACCACTTTAGTTAAATTTCATGTATCTTTAGATCTACATTAAAATAATTTCGGTTTACGATTTTTTATTTGTGTCATCCAAAATTTTACTAAATATATTTTTTTCAAAATTTTTATTTATTTCCCTTTTTTATAATGTAGTCTCTGACTCCAACTAAAAATAATTTGTACCAAGTATATTGAATTATGCAAGTTTCACTTGAACAGTTCCCAATCTGTCCGACCTAATGTAAGTTAGGGGTCGTTTGGAGGGTAGGAAATATTTTTGTTATAATTGTTGTATATTGATTATGTAGAGGGTATAATAATTGTAATATTAAGCGAAGGTAGTTTAATAAATAAATGATTTTGTTTGCAACCTTGTCTGATGTTTGTATCTTTTAATGGCGACGAGGAAAATTAATTAATTTATTGAGTAAAATGGCGTCCAATTTGTCTAATGTTGCGTTTCCCGGACAGTTTGATCCACGGACTGATAATTGGAGTGAATATAAAGAACGTTTTCTGTGTGCTTTAGAAGCAACGAATGTAAATGGTGACGACGTAAACAAAGCACGTGCGTTGTTTTTATCACAATGTGGAAAGGAGACTTTTTCATTAATTGTTTCATTATTAGTGCCTAGAAGACCTACTACAGTGGCATTAAATGACATTTTGGCAGTGCTTGACCAATTCTATGAACCTCAAGTGAATGAAATCTTACAATCTGATAAATTTCATAAACGTCAACAAAGTCAAAGTGAAAATATTCAGGAATATATTGCAGCTGTCGGCTCGCTGGCTTCTAGATTCAATTTTATGGACTTAAAAAGACAGCTAAGAGATCGGTTAGTGTTAGGTGTGCGCGACGAGCGGCTCCGATGCGAGTTGTTAAGGACGAAAAATCTTACGTATGAGTTGGCGGTGCAATTGAGCCTAAACTATCAAGGCACATTTTTGGATTTGTACCCAGATACAGGGTTGTTAAAACAAACTCCGTCCACAATCACGGAACAGATGGATATTGGTCTAATTAAATTGATCAAGTGTCGTCATTGTGCACGGTCATACAACAGTGGTGATAGATGTCCTTTTATAAAAGCCAAATGTTTTTATTGCAAAAAAATTGGACATATTGCTGCTGCTTGTATGAAGAGACCTAACAGAGTGCACCGGGTGGAGGAAAGTCTGACTTCCAATTCTGGAGATGAAAAACCTGATTACATGATGAGCACATTTGTTTGTTCAGATAATTGCCGATCACCATTGAAAGCAGAAGTAATTATCAACAGTGTAAAGGTTACTATGGAAGTGGACTCGGGTGCTGCAAGGACTATCATGGCTGAAGAGACATACAAAAAGCTGTGGGCTGTTCCACCACCATTAGAGAAGACACGCGTGAAATTGGTGACATGGACCCGTGAAGAACTAAAGGTTTTAGGTCAAGCTCATGTTCAATGTCATTAGGAAACAAAGAAGCTCAATGTGAGCTGTTAGTGGTTTCTGGTTTTGGGCCTAGCCTTTTAGGAAGAAATTGGTTTGATATATTGGGCATTGAGATAGCTGGTATATGCTGGACAGAAAATGAGAAGATTGATGAACTATTAAAATCTTTTCCAGAGTTATTTAAAGAAGGTCTTGGAGAGTACAATGGACCACAAGTATCGTTGAAGTTACGACCTGATGCTTCTCCGCGTTTTTTGAAGGCGCGCCCTGTACCGTTTCCCTTAATAAAACAAGTAGAAGAACAATTGACGCGAATGGTTGATGAAGGGATTTTAACCCCTGTAAAATATTCCCAATGGGCAACACCTTTAAGAATTGTGAAAAAGGATGATGGCTCCCTGCGCATATGTGGTGACTACAGGTCAACTGTTAATCTAGCAATTGAGACTGATACCTTCCCATTGCCAGCTGCTTGTGAATCATTTGTGAAATTAAGTGGAGGAAGGGGGTGTTTAGTAAAATTGATTTGAAACAAGCATACATGCAGCTGAAAGTGGATGAGGGCACTGCTATGCTTTTGACACTCAATACTCCATTAGGATTAATGAAAATGAACCGTCTCGCTTTTGGAGTAAATGCAGCTCCTGGTATTTTCCAACGTGTAATGTCTACAGCACTGGCAGGGATGGATGGGGTAGCATGTCTTTTGGATGACGTGGCTATTACTGGCAGAAATAATGAAGAGCATGATCAAAGGCTATGGGCAGTCTTGACTAAATTAAATACAATGGGTCTTGGGTTAAATCTGAACAAATGTGTATTTGCGTCAAATCAGATAAGTTTCTTGGGACATATGATTGATGCCGAGGGATTGCACCCATCATTGATTAAAGTAAAAGAAATAAAAGAGAAACCCGCACCTAGGAACAAAGAAGAATTACGTGCATTTTTGGGGTTATATAACTTTTATGAAAAATTTATTAAAGATAAAGCCACAATACTAGAGCCCTTGTATCGATTACTGGAGGCAAAGAAACCTTGGATATGGGGTCCATTGGAACAAATTGCTTTTGAGAAAGCTAAAGATGTGTTGTCTTCAGATTTAACGGTTATGATTTAAAGAGAGAGTTATTGTTAATTTGTGATGCATCAGACTATGGTGTGGGCATGATGGCATCCAGAACGTTACAACCCCATGAACGACGGTATGGACAAATCGACAAGGAAGCTCTAGCCATAATTTTCGGAATTACAAAATTTCATGAATTTCTATTAGGAAGGAAGTTTTGTATTATTACTGACCATAAGCCGCTAATCGGTATATTTAGTCCAAATAAACCTATTCCTGATCAAATTTCACCTAGATTGTTACGATAGTCATTAAAGTTGGGGTGTTATGAATATGAAATTAAATATAGACCTGGGAAATATATTGGTAATGCAGATGCTCTCAGTCGATGGACATCTGTAAACACTTCAGAAGAACAAGGAGTGGATATATTAGCCGATGTGTTACTCCTTGAGGAACCTCCCCCTGGATTGAATCTGGATGCGGCAAGAATTGCTGCCGAGACTAAGAAGGACCGCGTATTGCAAAGGTGTTATTTCACGTCCTACATGGTTGGCCTCCTAATAATACTGATCCCACTCTCAAGCCGTATTGGACACGTCGTGAGGCTCTTTCACACAATAAAGAATGTCTATTGTGGTGTAACAGTCATTGTACCTGCCTCCTTACAACAGCAGGTACTGAAGGTATTGCATGCACCGCATGCTGGTATAGTCCAGACGAAAGCTTATGCTAGAGGATACGTATGGTGGGTTGGTATGGATGCACAAATAGAGACTACAGTGGCTGCCTGCGAGTTGTGTCAGGACGTAAGAAACAATCCACCGAGAGAACCACATGCTTGGATTTTGCCCGATAAGCCATGGAGTCGTGTCCATGTTGATTTTGCTGGCCCATTCCAGGGGAAGGTCTTTTTTGTTATGATTGACAGCTACAGCAAATGGTTTGAGGCTTCTATATTACCAAATATGAGCAGCGAAGCTCTTATATCAAGTTGTCGTAAAATTTTTGCCTCACAGGGACTGCCCGAAAAATTAGTTTCGGACAACGGTAGAGCCTTTAGCTCGAGTGAATTTAATAAATTTCTGCAAAATAATCGTATCGAACATTTATATTCGCCCCCATATCACCCGGCTACGAACGGACAAATCGAGCGAGCGATACAGACGTTCAAAAACAAACTTAAGAAAATGTCGGATGCAGGGTTGTCATGGGCTGAGAAACTGCCTCGAGTGTTATATTCGCTCAGGACGGTGCCGAACCATCTAGGAAAGACTCCTGCAGAGCTGTTGAATGGACGTAAATATAGGAGTGCGGTGTCAGCATTGCATCCGGATAGTGGGCCAAACCGCTCGGAGCGACAGCTGGAGGAGGAAGCACAACGGACTTCTACCCGAACCTTTGCGATAGATCAGCCAGTTTTTGGTTCGTGCCTATGGACCAGGAGAGAAGTGGCGACGGGCCACTATCGAGTATGTCGAAGGTCCAGGTTGTTATAGGGTGAGAACGGAAGATGGACAGTTGATCCGTCGACATGTCGACCAAATACTGGCACGGTCCAACGCCCAAACCGTAAGCCGGTCTCCTGACACCTTGCCCATATCACCTCAATTCCGCAGAGTATCAAGTTCAACTTCTGGATCTGAATCACCAATACGAATTCCACCACCAGAAATGTGGCCTGAAATTATTGGCATACCAAACGCTGACTGAACTTGTGATAGAGCAAGCAGTAATTATTTACACAATATTAGAAACAAACAATATTACAGTTATTGGTTGGGACTGTTATTGTTAATTAATCCTTAACATTATGTTGTAACTTGATTATTGTGATGGAAAGGTATGTTGTATATTGATTATGTAGAGGGTATAATAATTGTAATATTAAGCGAAGGTAGTTTAATAAATAACTGAGTTTGTTTGCAACCTTCTCTGATGTTTGTATCTTTTAATAATATATATAATTATTTTTACTTATACTTATGAGTGCTTCTGATGGGTGGTCGATCCATGTTGCCGGCACCAATAAAATTGTTAATTATAAGTATTACCACATGCTCAGCGGTGAACAAAAACATTGTGAGGAAACCCACATATATACGAAATAATAACAAAAAAACATATTTCAAAACATTGTGATGTCTTCCAATCATCTGTGGGGACGCGTGGTGGATTATGTCTTAGCCTAGAAGGGGGACATAATATGTATATAGGCTGTATACTTTACTTTTTTTTGTGCAGGAAAAAACTAATATGCTGTTAATAGAGAGTAAAAATACTTTTCAAATGGATCAATATATATTGATGTTTTTTAATAATAAAAAAACCACTCAAGTGCGAATCGAATCCATGTGACTCGCGCACAATGTGTTCCGTACCATTATCTAGTATATAATTGTATTTGTATGAGTGCCCATACAACTCGGAGGACTTATCTAAATTGATATCAAAAATGTATTTTCAACTTTTTCTAATTATTGGGATTTTACCTTAATTTGTGCTTGCTCTTTCCCAAATTTCGTGATTCTAGGTCAAGAGGAACGTAAAATATAGGTTTTCGAAACAAAACCATAGTGTACTTCCGGTTGATCTAGAATTGTCAGTCTTGGTTAAAAGCAGGGTCTTACAGCACAGGTAACGGGAAAATTTCGAAAAATAAAAAAAGTTGAAAATTAAGGTAAAATTTGGAGTTTTCGCGAAAATCTAAATTTGCGCATATCTTCAAGCATGTTGACTGAAGAGCTTGATTTTTACACCTAATAGGCAATATAGACCTCATTATCTAGTATGAATTTAAACTTGCTAGGTCCACCCGTTCCTGAGATAATGGGTGGTGATTCAAGGACAGACAGACGGATAAGCGAGTTATCTTTTACGTTTTGAGCCATGGAAACCTATAAAGTGGTGAATGTGATAGCAATGATGTTAAATGTGTCGGCATTTTATTAAAGTGAGTGTGTAAATGATTAAAATTGTATGTTTCTTTATATTATTTACAGGAATTTGGAAGTGCAGGAATAGATTTTGTTGAAGATGATCCCCTGACATTGAAAGAAGTCCACGAGCACATGATTAGATCTCCACCACCCACCAGTTGCTGGCCACATGGTAACTAATGATTTACTCTCATGTAAATTGACATTTCCTTGATATATGCTTGCTTCTACTTAATTTTTTATCATTATCTTAAGTAGGTCAAGTATTAGTTGAAAATCGAATATTACTTATATATAGTTATATAGTTTTGAACATTTTTATGAACATTTTTATGAATATTTACATTTAAGAATGAATAAACGTACGTATATGAATAAGTGTATTTACACTTTAATTACTTCTTTTCATCTATAATTCGATTCTTTACCAAAACTTTATTTTATGTGTCTATGTATATTTTTGTGATACCTTTAAAATTGTTAAAATTTTCCATATATGAAATAAAGGTAGCGGGTGGACCCCACGCAACCACGAGCCACCGCGTTGTTTATTCATTCTTACACCATCCGTGCAAGAGTAACAGTAACAGTAACCGTTTTGAATAACGTGTGACCGTTTATCCACTGATCGCATGCATTCGGACGAAGAATCGCTGTCGCAGCGCGCGTCGAGCGCTTTCGAGTTCGCCGATTGCCCTGTCTCGTACAGCGCCGGCTCGGTCCATTCCCAGGAGAAGGTTACTAACAATTGCTTCATTTTGTGTCCGCTCTCACCTTCATCTATGATGTTGATCGCAACCCCTAATACTTTAACTCTTGTTTACGTGTTTAAGAGACTTGTACCGCAACTATTATATATATATATATTTTGTTAAAATAATTATAAAAGCTATAATTTATATTAATATATTTTAATATATATAATATATTAAAATATTTAATAATTTTGGCTATTTGACAGTATAAGTTTAATAATATATTTAAGATATATCTTCTCGAATCTTTTGGTATGGTATATCGTAATATATGAACCTTACTAACATAACTTAATAATTTCATCGGTGCCGGCATCGGGAACTCACGTTACTCGAGTATATTGAAAAAAGATCCGACGGTTTGGCTTTGATCCCCTGGGAGAGAGGCAAAGCCCTTGTTTGGGATGCTACTTGTGTAGACACTTTGGCTGCCTCTCATCCAATGGGTACTTCGGTCAGGGCGGGGGCGGCATCGGCGGCAGCTGAAGTAAGTAAATGGTGCAAATATGAGTCTCTATGTTCAGATTATGTATTTGTGCCATTTGCTGTTGAAACTTTGGGTCCGTGATACATCGAAATTTTTTAAAGTTTATGTCCTAGGCTTAACGCCGTGATAAGAGATCTGGTGCTTTTCTCGCTCAAAGGTTAAGCATAACTATTCATCGAGGAAATGCAGCTAGCGTTCTTGGACCATGCCGCGTGGATAAGGTTTATTAGATAATTTGTAGTTTTAGATAAATTTACGCCCGGGTTGCACGAATGGGCAGACTCGTCCGGGTAAGTACCACAACCTCACAGAAAACCAGCGTAAAGTGGAAGTATAATAAATAATTTCGCGTTTCGTCTGGTGAGTGAGGTGGCCAGAGCCCAATTTTCAAAAGGTTGTCAACGCATCTGCAACCCTCGGGTGCAGATGGCCATGGGCGGCGGTATTCACTTAACATCAGGTGACCGCCTGCTCGCTTGGCAACTTTTCACTTAAAAAAAAACTTAAACAACATTTAAAAAGCCATTTGACAGCTGATTAGTTAACTTCTCCCATGATTCGGATTTCAGAAACAGGGCGTTAATGTTATAAATATTGGATAAATAAAAATTCAGTCAAAAAAGGAGTATGTACCGGCGGCCATCTTGGATTTACAATTGTACCGAATGTAATAAATATAATTTATTAAAACAAACATTTACAAATATCGTACAGATGCTACAAAATTATTATAATCTATCCTAATTAAAACTAAATAGATAACTAAAATAACTAAAAATTAACATAATATAACTATAATAAAAATATGCTTTCTTAAAAACTAAACTACTTATTAAAAAAACTAAACTAGATAAAAAAATGCTGGCCAAATCGCCGTCGTCTGTGGGCAAGCTGGCCGAGTTGCCACGCTGTATCGCGAAGCTGATCGCTGGCCAAAGTACGAGCCAGCTCTTGGGTCACCAAAAATAGTAATCAGACGCGAGCGGATCTTTTCTCTCATCTTTATACAAACGTTTCGCGTCTGGTCCCCACGGTCCGAGTGTCTCCACGTCAAACGACACAAATATGTATATGTATGAGCTACGATTGATCTGGCTCCTAGCAAATAGTGATATACTCTACAGTTCGCCGAGTATAAAATATGCATATATTAACAATTGTCCATCGAGCCAAGCTTTATCGGATATTTTTAATGAATTGCGCAAATCATGGAAAACATAGAGCACCACTGATCTTAAAAGTCACCTAAAGTCTTTACCGACTGAAACAGCATACATAGTATTTTAAAACTTTTTTTGAAAGAGGTCAATTTTCCTTTTCTATTAAAATTAATGTTCTTGTTGTTTCTTAATGTAATCTGATTTATTGAATCTGTAATAAAAGTAAAAGTCTAGGTTGTTATAACATTAACGCTTATTTTTATGGTACCAAAATCAAATCAAAATCATTCATCGACATAAGAAACTTACATTTCATCTATCGATAGTCATATTTTTTTTTAAATCTACCATCGTTTCGTAATGTGGTTCCTCTAGCGGAGAAGAAACAGGCGAAAGAAACTCCGTAGGTATTCTCTTTATTGTAATTCATTTTTTTTTTCTTAAAAAAATTAAAATATTATACAACTGATTTTTTTTCCTTTTAAAAATAGCTTGGGAGCGATCAAGTCATTCTCAGGGGTTATTGTCATTAATGTATTAATTTGTATTATAATAACCCTTTTTTATAAAGTTTTTCTTTAATAAATGTCTTAAACCTGTTAATGAGCAGGTTTTGCGCATTGACTGGGATTTTGTTGTAAAAGCGTATACACCGTCCCATGACCGAGTTATTTACTCTATGGAGTCTAGTAACTGGCGTTACAAGCTTGTGTTTGTTCCTAGTGTTCACATTATTTACCTCAGTATTCTTATCAAAATTATTAATATTTCTACGCACATACATAACATTTTCATAAATATATTGAGAGGCTAAGGTTAATATATTTATTTCTTTAAACTTCTCTTTCAAAGATGCATTCAAATCTAGATTATAAATAGCTCTTACGGCCGCGTGCCCCCATAGCAAAATACCATATGACATTATGCTATGGAACTAAAATACACAATTCTAGCTGTTTTTACATCAGTTAGACATCTTATTTTCCTTATAGCATACACTTCAGAACTTAGTCTATTCGCAAGTTTGGATATATGGGGACCCCATTGAAGCTTTGCATCGAGAGTTATTCCAAGAAAGACAGTCGTATCCACAAGGCCTAACTCCCCCCCATTTATAAGTACATTGGCAGCACCTAAATGTTTAGCATTAGGTGTTGAAAATTTCATACATTTAGTTTTATTACCATTTAATAGTAAATTGTTGGTATTAAACCAATAGACTATTTCTGAAATAGCATTATTTACCTCGTCAAGTGTAACAAGCTGTCGATCGATTTTAAAAATTAATGATGTATCATCTGCAAATAACACTATATCGTGTTTACTCCCTACAAAGTAAGGAAGATCATTAATGTAAATGAGAAAGAGAAATGGGCCGAGAATCGATCCCTGCGGAACGCCCATAGATACCGTCGAGCCAGAAGAACTAGCACCATTAATTACAACTTTTTGAATTCTATTAGATAAATATGACAATGAGGTCAAGCGCGGTACTTTTAATGCCATAATGGCGCAATTTCCTGATCAGTGTTTCATGATTCACGCAATCGAAAGCCTTGCAAAGATCACAAAAGACACCCAGAGCATCCTGTGAACTCTCCCAAGCCTCAAATATATGTTTGATCAGCTCTACACCAGCATCGGTTGTAGAAAGACCCCTTGTAAAACCAAACTGGTTGTGAGGTAATAATTTATTTAAGTTAAAATGTGTTAACAGCTGATCTAGAAGCAGTTTTTCGAAAATTTTACGAAGTGTTGGTAGTATATGTTCGTTTTTTTTTTTTCTGCTGGCAACTCTAAGATGTACATGTCATTATAACTTCTCCCTATTAATTTTAATTTAATTATTTTTAAATTTTGTATTTTTAGTGAATATAATAACTCATTTAGCCTCTGTTTTATATATCAACATTTGCGAGTTAATAATTTTTACTTAGTTAATAACTAACTATATTACTAAAGTGTTGTTCGATATTTCGGCAGCTGTCACTGCGAAGGTAACGATCTCAAATTTAAACTTTAGTTTGTTTTCTCTTTGCCCTCTTTCAACTGCGCACTGCTATATTTATTTATTGACTAACTTAATACTAACATACATCTAAAATGATGACCCGAAACTCCAAGGCGCGCCAACTTGAAGAACAACTCCAGCTGGCGCTCCAAGCGTTAAAGGCAACAAAAACACAGTGCGAACAGTTGTTGAGGGAGAGGGATGACAATGAACAAGAGACATTGCAGATCATCAATAAAAATAAGAATTAAAAAATGATCTTTCAAAATTGCATTGTAAATATATAAACCTAATAAATGAGAATGATAATCTGCAAAAAATAGTCAATGGGTTTGATCAGTGCAGGGGTGAGTATGAGGATGCCCTCAGTCTTACTTCTGCCCTGAGATCTGAACTGAATGAAGCCCAACAAACCATTATATTACTAGAAAATAATAACCTTAATTTGAGGGCCGCTCAAGCCCAATGTCTATTCAATGAGCTAGTTGAGAAAGCACCTGACATGATATCCTCAGTCACTGCCTCTAAAACTGACATGTCTACAATTGATTTGACTGGTGATGACTGTGGACCATCTTACCCGGTTTCTAAGTAAAAAGAAGTTTAAGAAATATGTAAAATTAATAAATTTATTAGAAAAACGCAGCGTTTGTTAAAATCTAGACAAAATATTAGTAAAAATTATGTAAATATTTGTAAAGAAAGAAATTCATTAAAGGCAGAGATGAATATGTACATCAATGAGGCAAAAAAAATTTCAGTTGTTGTATGAGGCTGATGTGAGTTCTCTCCAGACTGAAATAGTATCTTTAGAGAGTTCTTTGAACTCCATAACAAAAAAGTATGAGGTATCACAAAAAGAAATAGCTGGACACATTTCAGCTATGAACGACCTGCTAGATATATGTAAGCATAACACAGACCGCTTTGAATCACTTACAAAAAACTGTGTTTGTGAGTGTCAAAGCTCTCATGGTCTTTCACAGCTGAACATTGACAAAGTGTCCCCTACCCAGTCTGCTGAGTCTCTCAACAGCACCATGCATGGAGAGGCAGTACAACATACCCCCAGTCATAATGTAAAGATTTATAGTGATGAATTAGGTAGGAGTATGGGGTTGTTGCTTCACAATGTATGTAAGGGACAATTAGTGACTAATTTTTGTATGCCTGGAGCTACCTATTCTCAAATAATGAGGACTATCTTGACAAGTACTCATTGTCCCAACACCATTCTGATTGTATTAATTGGGAGAAGGGGAAGTGTTAATAAACAACTCTTGCGGAACTATCATGATCAATTAACAAACTTAAATGTAAAAAA